AATTGATTTGGATTATCCTTACATCCCAACCCAACCACCTCCACAGTTCCAGCCTCTGTACCTGGGCTGTTTTGGGTAAATTTGTGCCCTGGCAATAAGTTTGGTCCCATTCCCATAGTGAAAACATGAAAATGCCACTAAACCAACATGACACCCTTCAAAAGAAAGCAAATGCATACCAAAGAGATATCACACACAGAACAACACATTACTCGAGTCAAATTTCTTGAGTCAATGTTTTGATCACTATGCAGTCCACTAAATGATGTGACTTGTATTACGTTTCCTAACTCAGCACGACTAGACTTTATTGAGGCATGCAACAAAAATCCTTCCAAACTCATGCAGCATCTTCAGGTTAAACTGGAACATGATGTTGTTTAGTGGGCCTGCTTGATCATTACCCATCAAAGTCAGTGTAAGAAGGAAATAATGGTGAATTCATGCAGCCAGATGCCACATCTGATGGAGCGATTTCCCATAAAAGGGAAGTTTGTCAGGACAGCCCACTGGCCAAGGTCTGGAAAGGAAGTGACTCCTGGCCACACGTGGATGTAATGATTTGTTGTCATGAATACAAAAAACCAAACATCTTGAAGATCTTTATGACAAGTGGCTGAGTTGCTTTGAACGTAATGGCATCAAGTGCACACTGCAGCTTCAGAGATCTTTAATCATCATTTAGTCACCAGGAATTCAAAGCTAAAGTTATGGGTTCCTTTTATTTGTTCTGGATTGGAATTTACTACAGAGGTTAATTAGCATCTGGAGAAAGTAAGACGCAGGTAGAAATTCTGTGAAGGTTCCAAAATAAAAGCCTATTCAGGTCAGAAAACTCAGCAAAAATGTCATTTAAACTGATTTAGTTTGTGAGTTATTCTAATTTATTATAGACATGATTACTTAGCATAACAGACTAATGCGGAGATGGTACCAAATTCATTGGCAAAAAGAGTATTTGTCCCTCAAAAAGAGCAGCAGTGAAGATCTGCTGTCCAGTTAAAGTGTTTCTGAAAGTAGCTTTGCTCCTAATTTTGCATGAAAATCCAAATAATACCTAAAGTTTTTACAGGCAGAAAATATATGTATCAAATACCTCCAGCGCCCCTATTAGGTCAGCGTGTTAAAGCAACACAATCACCTGTTGTAGATAATATCGTAGACAAACAGCCAAGCCATCATTCCACCCCTAGCTGATAATATTTTGATAAATCTTCTGTTGTTTTTCCAGTGAATTCTGCAATCAGTTCAAACATAGATTAGCAATCCACAACCACAGATTTTATCAAGTGTATGCTTTGTCTTTGGTTGAGTTCACACAGAAAGCAAACACTCAGAGGACCAAAGTCTGATCCAGCTTTTCTGAGATTCACTCATCACATCAATCAGAAATCATTTAGGTCACGTTTCCTACCACCAATCTTCAAAAGTTCACCCCCATGTCCCAGAACTCTTCAATGACTCACACAGAGTGTGCTTCCTCTAGAAGTCCCAGTGTAATAACTAAAATGCATGTAATGATTTTTTGGAGCAGGTTCCTGCAGGAAAACCTTCCATAACAAAAGCATGAATGGGTTTGTAGCATTCACATATGGTCCCAAATTAAATGGATTGAGACTAAATCATAAAGAACATGAGCATTCTGGTAGAGGACCAAGACAGCAAGAACAAAGGTTAAAGAGTTTCTGCAACTAATAGCCTGTTTGGCCAACTAGTCACTGCATGCATGGGTCATTAGATCGAGCTGGATCTGTTATGCAGTTTGATGACGGTTGTTTTGATGGTAAAGTTGGCTTCAAAATTAATAAGAGATAAATGAAACATTTTCTGTCAGCTCATTACTTTATTATATTATATTACATTACATAACATTATATAATTTTATTGCCACAAATTATTATAAAATGCAATAAGAAAAGCCTTCTATAGTTTTTTTTACAGTAATTGTTTTAATATGCCATATTATGTAGTTTTTGTTATCTTGATTAATTTAAATTCAAAAATACTTCCCAGAGAAAAATGAAGTTCTCCAGCAGTTAGCTGCTGCGGCTCTACTATACATAAACTCTGTAACTCAGCTGGTTAGTCATGTATTTGTCCACTGTTTGAGAAAAATTTTTACACTGGGACCATCAGACAAAATAAAACTTTACTAGCCCCTCATGTGGGAAATTTGCTTTTGTTACAACAGAAAAAGAACAAAAATAAGAGCTATGAGTTTACTGAACACTAACATGTAATTACTTTGATGATTATTGAGGCTAACACACTAAATCACCTCTATCTGTATAAAATGTGCATATTGAGGTAGGCTTGCACACAGCACACGACCATTTTTATTCTACGTAATTAAGATGGCAGGATCCCCACATGATCTTCATCAGATCAAACATTAAAAGTTCTCTTACTGAGATCAATCAGGTGTGACAACGAGCCAATAAAGTTCTGGATTCCATCTCTTCAAGCATGTTTGATCTACAGCAGATCCATGATCACAAAAGCAAACAATTCACTTACATAAGGAACACATTACGTGACTTACACTTTTACAAAAATCCTTAGAATATACATTTATAAAGACAACTGTGTTGCAGATGGGATAGTTTTATTATTAGGAGTTTGAGCATCAGCAGCAACTCTTAAATATCAGAAACCTAAAGAAAAGGAGCAAACTCAGGCGACCGGTGATGGTTGTACCCTCTGTGCTGCAGTACCGGGACCAGATAGGTTGTATGTGTGTGAGCATGAGGGAGGGAGTGTGTGACTGTCTGTATATGACTGTATATGTCAGGTGGGGTCTTGGACTCCTCCCCTCTCCTGGGACTTCTTGTGCTGCTACACATCTTCGCCTCCTCTCCCCCTGCCACATTTGGTGTGGAGTGAGGTGCCTTGAGTGTTTGCAGCTCCCGGGTCAAGGGGTTAAAGATTTCTGGCATCTGCCTGATCGATCCCGGTGGCTGCCTGGTGGGATCTGAGTCCCTTGGCTCTGTTGGGTCACCAGCGGGGGTGGTCGCCCCTGGGTCCCGGTTCGCTGGGTTCTGGGCTCAGCCAGCTTGGGGGTGGGAGGCTGCGGGCGGGCCTGTGGGCTTGCCGCTGTTAGCTCCCGGGACTCTGCCGTAGCTGGTTGTGACACCCCCCCCCCCCCCCGGGGGGGGGGGGGGCAATCCTCTGTGCCTCTCGAGAGGGGCAGGGGCTTTTCTGGTCGCAGTCTCCCTGGGGTCCCTGTGCTCGGGGGCAGCGCCTGGATCTCTGGGACTTGGAGCTCCTTCCATCTCATACACATCTTTGGGGGGCAGATCTGTGGCCCCTCACACACTCTACTGGACACCCCTATAGAGAAATTTTGCATATACAAGCATGTGTACACACACAGGTGCTCTCATAAGTATGGACTTGGGCAATTTCAACACATCTTAGGTCTGTGGTTGGCACTAAATGCACTGTGATTTATTATCGTGTGATTGTTCAGTAAAACAATGTTGATTTTATATTTCCTCATCAGGATGACACGGTGATAGCTGGCTCTTGTATTGTTGTGTTTCTGCAGGTCTAGAAGCAGACTCTTGTTCATCATCTGAACCTAATGAATCCTAACATCATCTTGGAATATGTCCATGCTATCAGGGAAGATGGAATAACCTGGTCATTCTGGTATGAACAAAACTTGAGCACCTGTGAGGACACAAAGTAAGGCGCTAATTAATGTATTTATTAAAAGGAAAACACAACAAGGTGTTACCCGAGGTGGACAAGGCTGAGGCAGTCAGGAGGAAGCGTGGGTCAAATCCAGAGAGATCCATGAATGCTACAAGGGGCAGGCAGGAGGCAGAATCCAGAGAATGGTCCAAGGTCGAGAATCCAGGTGGTCAGAGGCAGAGAAAACAATCCAGACAGGGAGCAGGCATGTGGGTTGGTCAAGGAACAGAAACAAGGTCAGGATCTATGGTACAGGCAGAGTTTGGAATGCTGGAGAATTTACTGGCGTGAGCTTTCAATAATCTTGCACTGCTTGGTGTTGGTCCTGGTGTTGTATAGAGTGTTGCAGGTAGAGCTGATGAGTTAATGTGAGACAGGTGGTTTGGATGAGGTTGATGATAAGCTGGTTATGGTTGCTGGGGAAACTGGGCCTGGCTGGAGCGGTGGCATGACACATTCAGTACATTCAGCTGACCTCATTCTTGGAGCACATCCTGTTGCTGAACCTAGGCCTGACCAACTGCAGCAAGCCCAGATCATAACACTGACCCAACAGGCTTGTACAGTAGGCACTAGGCATGATGGCTGCATCACTTCATCTGCCTCTCTGATGCACGCACCATCACTCTGGAACAGGGTCCATCTGGACTCATTAAACCAGTTTTAATAATGCATTGGACAGTTCCTTACCCAATTTTAGTCGTTTCTACAATCTCCTTAGATGATTTCTCTGCTTGATGCCAATGATCGGACCCTTTTCCACGACCCGGTCTTTTGTAACGCACCAAAAGGGTCAGTTATTCAACATCTACATTGACCAACATAGTGACCTTTCATGTACAGCATAAATCCACTTTCTATGTTTTTTTTTATTTATTTAGGACAGTGCATGTTAATGAACATAAATGTAAAAGCAGCTTACATGAATGTAAACATGCCAGATTATAGCCAAAGGCTCCTTTCTCTATAGCTCTGGTTCAAATCACGCCTTAAAGCTCTGAGCCAATGGAATCGTGTGGTGTTGCATTTCATTGTGTCCAGATTGAAACAAAAAGACCACGAGCCCCTAAGGGGTGAGCCAATCTTCTGGGTAAGATGGCGTTGCGGACTTCTAACCTGTAGGGAGCAAAACACGGCAAAAACAGCCAGGAATTAGTTCGTTTTGATGCTGGAAAAATGGATTACACGAGTGGAGTCTCACGCTGTCTTGGCACTAAAAGCGGCATCCTGTGACACATATCTAATCCTGGCTGTAGATAGGTCTGCAATAAGCCTCAGAGACAGACACATCAAACCAAACCATGTGTTTTCATTTCACTTTATTTAATAACCAAGACCCCAACCACCAAGAGATGCCACATTAAAATGTCTTCAAGTGTAAAAATACAACTGAAATAAACAGGGATTTGAGGTGAGAGAAGAAATGTAGAACACCAGACACTTCACCGTTCAGAGCCGTACTTCCTGCTTGGGCGCAGTCATCTGCAAAACACTTCAAAACATTAATGGACACAAAGTGAAGCACCATGACGTATACTGACACAGGTTTAATACAGTATGGAGAAAATAACACTGGAAATTAAAACCCCTAAAACATATTTACAAAGATCTTCCAGGGTCAGACGAGGTCAATGCATAGCAAGGTTTATCCGTACCGCCCTACTGCCCCTTATCAACAGTCTTATTTTATTCCAGCATTAACAAGAATAATAATATTAATGCTACTACTACTACTAATAATAAGCACGCACAGAAGAGCAAAAACCTTAAGAACTTTGAGCAACTGGTTGCTATACATGAATAATGCGACTCTTACGCATTTCCCAAAACAAAACTCCTAAAGTCAACTCTTTTGTATGTTTGTTCTGTGTTTAAAGAGCAAGTTGCCCCCTACCAGATTCTTACTCAACTCCCACTTCCTGTTTGAAAAATGCAACAAATACTGTTGCCTAGCAGACCAAGAAGGCGGAGCCGCTAACAAATACACACACACACAGGCTCACAACGACATTGTGACATCATATGGTACCAGCTAACGTTCTAGGGTACCTCTTAGCCAATAGCGATGACAGATTTAAATTCAAATGCAGTGCAGAGTTTTTACCCGGCAACGGCAGAAGATTTAAATTTTAACTAAAATGCACTGAAGTGCAAAACTATTGACCACACGTGTCTGCAGCACGATTAGACACACATTTATATAGTTTATCAGAAAAAAAAGTTGATTTGGGGTTGACTTGCTCTTTAACTTCGTAATCCTTTACTTTGTTCTTTTTTTACACAGTTTAGCAATAAATGGATAAACGGAAGTAACGCCACCAATACCGGCGAACTCTGATGATGACTATAGGCATTAGCTGAAACATGTCAGCTAAAGAACCTTTTTTTTTTTTTTTACTAAACTGTGTAAAAAAACCAACTAAGTAATGGATTATGAAAGTCAACGTTCACCTTGGGGAATGTCTGTAACCCTGTTCATGTTCTTTGTCAAACACAATTCACCAAAGATATTAACGAGTAATCAAAGCTCAGCTAATAGCGAACAGCTATTTATCTTTGACAGAAAAGTGAGTACAATTTTAAAGTTTTACTACAAAACAGCCTACTTGGCTTTTTTGGAACCTGTTTTATGTGGCTTCACCATATTTTAAAGAGCAAGTCACACCCAAATCATTTTGTTTTTGCTGATAAATGATATTCAATTCAATTCAAAAATACTGTATTAATCCTGGAGGGAAATTGGTTTAAATGAGTGTCTAATCGTGCTGTAGACGTGTAGTTAATAATTTGGCACTTTAGTGCATCTTAGTTAAAATTTAAATATTCTGCCTAAAACTGTCAGTGTTGCGCCCTCTTCAGGTAAAAACTCTGCACTGCATCTAAATTTAAATCTGCCATCACCATTGGCTAAGAGGTACAATTGACGTTAGCTGGTACATTGTGATGTCACAATGTCACGAGCCTGTGTGTGTATTTGTTAGCGGCTCCGCCCTCTTCATCTGCCAGGCAACAGCATTTGTTGCATTTTTCAAACAGGAAGCGGGAGTGGAGTAATACTTTGGTAGGGGGTGACTTGCTCTTTAATGTCCCACTACTGAACATGTTTGATTGACATTCAACTATAAACAACCTCCTCATTATGTGTTATTTTAGTCCTGTAGTGTCAAAAATATGAGCTTTAAAGAATGTTGAGCAAGTTGTTTCATCATTCTGATTTCCACTTTCCATTGGTAAATCAGACTGTTGTGCAGCAAATGTCTAGTGGAACTAAATGTGACATGATGGGAAGTCTGTTCCCCGTAGGCCATCCAACGATCCTTATTGGATTTAGAGATTTTTAAAGCAAGTCTAAAGTGAATTCTTCACACCCCACTGCTGCTTTGTTCATAATGACTTACTTACATCATCGTATTGTGAGGAGAGGAAGCTCAGGTTTTGTTGTTGTGCAGTGAAAACTCCCCCAACTTCATTTGGAAGGAGCTTTGGAAAATAAAAATGTTTTTATGGAGGTGGGGTGTGAGTCGTTGATCAGCGTATAAAACTGGGTGTTGCTAATGTCAGAGCTATGTGAATGGGGTAGTTCAACCAAAAAAATAAACTTCAGTGAGGATGTAGCATCTGCTGGATGAAGCAGACATGGACGTGACTAAAGTCTGTAAATGGGCTCACAGTAAAACTGAAGTGAAGATGATGATGATGTAATGACAGGAACTGAGATCAACGAGTATAAGGTGGGGTGGTGAAGCTTGTTGTAGTGGAACTGTGGAGGGTTGTTTTATTTAGAGCCCCGAGCTGCTCTCATATCATCCTGCCTCTGGGGGAGGGGTGTCATTTCCTTTAATTGTGCACGTTACAATCGTTCTGTTTTCAAAAACACCAACAGAAGAGTGACTCACATCTTATTCAAGGAGAAATCCAGTGATAAACAAAGACTAAACGTGATAACAAAAATATAAATGCAGATTCAAAAGTAAAAACAACGACCAGGTGCAGCTCTCGCACGCACCCCCCCACATAAACACACACACACACACACCCGAGCTTCAGACAACCCCAGATTGGCTTTGTGCTTGTTGCTAAGTGAACCTAATTTGCTGAACACAACTTTTTCACACAGTTGGTGATGAACCAGGACCTTGCTGATGGAAGTGGAGCAGGTGCAAAGAGAAAAAGGGATGAGGAACATTTGTAGTGATGGTGTGTGGAGGTGGCGCTGCAGTCCTATGGAGTACTGAAAGGTTCTAGAGAAGTAGTCCAACCCAACTATAAAGTGTTAGTCACCGCTCAATATGCGCTCGATCTCCTCCAGTCTCTTTAAGGCAGCGGCCCTTTTCTCCTCGATGTCTTTAATCTCTTTAGTGGACTTACCCCTCGTCTGCTGCTCAGTCTGCCTACTGTCTACAGATTTTGGCTGCTCTGCCCCCCCACCTCCGAGGCTTTCTGCTAAGGATTTCCGCTCATTCTTCTCACCAACGGCCTCCTTTCCAACATCAGCACCCCTCCCTTCCTTCTCACTCTCAGCAACCTCCTCTGCTCCTTCGTTGACTCCCTGTGGCTTCACTTCCTCATCTGATGTTCTGACTCTTTCTCCTGATATCGGCTGTCCAGCGGCACTCATGGCTGCCATTTTACTGCGTACGATGCTCAAATGCCGACGCACATACTCCTCGTTTGGTGCCAGGGCCAGGGTCTCCTCGAGGCACCGCTCGGCCCGTGGCAAGTCCCGCTCTTCAAAATAAACAACACACAAATTGTGCTTGCCTTGGACGTTGGTGGGGTCCATGCGCAGAATGCGCTCGAAGCAGACTTTGGCCCCTTTTGTGTCCTTCTTGTGGTTCATGAGGATGTCGCCTTTAAGGATCAGGCCTTTAATGTGCTCCGGGTGGTGGTGCAGCAGCTCGTCCAGCACGGGCAGCGCGTCCACCTCGCGCTTGGACTGAGAGTAAAGCAAGGCCAGGTTAAAGAGGGCGCTGCGGAAGCCAGCCTGCAAGCCGATGGCTTTACGCATCCAGTGCTCAGCAGCTGCATTCTCAGCGGCGTCCATGGCCAGCATGCCGAGGTTGAAGTAGCCGTTGGCGTCGTCAGGCTCCTCCTCCACGTAGGTGAGGAAACGCCGGTTGGCTTCAGGCCAGAACTTTGGCTCTCCTGTCAAAGCCAGCATACACAATAGCAGACAGATGGGCATTTAAAGGGTTCAAATGATAAAGTGAAAGAGGTTTTATATTTATAACAAAAACTTTATGCAGAGAAAGTAATACAAAACATTAAGGATCTAAAAAATCAGACTCTCAGCCATTTTGGCCTCTAACATGCAGAATGGAGAAGAATTATGAGAGAACTTTCTGACGGTTGATATGGATGAATACGTGCTGTGATAAGAGTGAAGAAAGACTAACAAAAGTAAGAATGACAGGAACCCGAGGCATGATTTCTGCCACGACTGCAAAATCAACACAAAGGGACTTCAGCGACTTCACGTTTTAAACTAACTTGGGTTCGAATCTTAAAGGGATATTACACCCAAAACTAAACATTTCCTGACATTTTTCTTAGAGTTAGATGGGTGGGAAAACATTCATTTGAACCAGTTCAGTTATTCTGCTGACCCGGCTGTACTCCTTTAGCTTTAGCTTAGCATAAACACTGTAAGTGAATGAATCCCGCTAGCATTGTGAGAAAAAAAACATTCTTAAAATCCCTCAGTAGTAAATTCCAACCAATTCTGCTTGGTGAGCTAAATAATCAGGCTGACTGCAAGCGAAAGTAATAAGTAACAAAGGAATTACTTGGGACTACTTTATGACAAAGCACAGCTGTAAGCCTCCGCTGGCAGCCCCAAAGACACCTGCTACTGTTAACACAGATGCATACGTCGTTAGCAAACTGGCAGAAAACACACACACACACGCACGCACGCACGCACTCCAATCGCTGTCATTGTGTGTGTGTGTTTTATGTCCCAGCTAAAGGAGCACAGCCGGGTCAGGGGAATTCCTGAGCTGGTTAAAAATAGTTTTTTCCCACTCATCTAACTCTGGAAATTTCAATTTTGTGTGGAATATACCTTTAACTCAGGTTAGAATGAATCTTCTTTTTCCTAGAAGGAATATTTTGGGATTTTCTAATAAAAATAGCTGTAAACAAAGATGGGGAAAATCCTCCTGAAAAACTATTTCACACTTTTTTATTGTCAAATATTTTACTGTTTTTTTTCTTCCAAGTTAAAAGTGTTCATCCAGGTTTGTCAGCTGAATTTATACAACCAAACGGCATCACATGACCAAAAGGGCCAGATTAGACTGAATACTGTTTGACTTGAGAGACTCAGATCATCATTCCCTATTACTGCTTGTTCCTTTGAACTTCTAGAGAAACGTTGCAGCAACACAGTCAAAAATGAGGAATTTTCTTTTTTCTCTTAAAATTTCCAAACCCGGATTTTTGACATTGACTTTTTTAGCTGAAAAGCAGATGTAATATTTATAAGCTGCTGCAAGTGAATATATTATTACCATGAATTGCTAATTGCGTTTACATTCATGGTAACTGAATGAAGCTTTGAGATAATAACACTATGATGCTCTCTGCACTATTTCATTACTGCAATGTAAAGTCCTTAATGTAAATGAAATGAACATGTTTTTGTTCAGGCTTTATCTTCACACCTGAACACCTTTAGGTTCCTGCTCAGCCAATAAAAGCAAACACAAAGTGCCAAAGCTCCAGTTAAACCTGCTGTTAGTGAAACTGCTCCTGTTTTTCCTGTCACAATGTTGGTGAGGCGTGGAGACAAAGAAACTTGGCTGTGAACGTTGTGTTGGTGCACACAAACTTTATGTTGAGATAAGGGAAAGTCCTCAGGAGCCCAGTTCCGCCTTAAAGGTAATATAAGGTTACTTTCCTCTCAGCAGCGCCAAGTCTCATTCAGAAGTTGATCAACACCCGGAACACACATTTTTTCTGCTGCTTTTGATCCACCCTGTTCTTCTGATAACGACCCAGATTCCTTAACTTCTCAGTTTAACGAGCACTGCCTCTCCATTCTGGACAACATCTGTCCTGTCAGAACCAGATCAGTTCCTGCAGTGAACCCTACTCCCTGGTTTAATGACAACCTTCGCAGCCTGAAGTGCCAATGCAGAAAAATTGAGCGTTTGTGGAAGAAAACCCATCTCCACATCCATCTGCTGCACCTAAAGGATGTTCTGTCATCCTTTAACTCTGCAGTCAGAGACGCTAGGGTTTCCTATTTCTCCAACCTGGTGTCCCAGAGCAAAGGGAACCCCAAGGTGCTGTTTAACACCATCAGCAGCATCGTCTCTCCTGCCTCTCTTACAGCCTCCATCCACTCTGTTGCAGACTGTGAGAACTTTCTGTCTTTCTTTGTGGACAAAGTCAATAAGGTTAGATCTAGCATCTCTCCTTCAGCCTTATCGCCGCCTCTCCTGACTCCAACCAGACCCATCATCCTAGATAGCTTTGCTCCTGTTTCTTTGCCTGAGTTAACCAAACTAGTTAACTCTATGAAGACCTCTGCATGCCCCCTCCACATCTTACCCTCATCTTTTTTTAAAAGTGCTTTTCAGTCCATCGGTCCCAGCGTGCTCTCTATAATTAATGCTTCTCTGGTTTCTGGTCAGGTCCCTGCTTACTTTAAGAATGCTGTAATCCACCCGCTTCTTAAAAAACAGAGTCTCGACCCCTCTCTCCATAACAGCTTCAGACCCATCTCTAAACTTCTGTTCATCTCCAAGATCTTGGAAAAGGTTGTGGATAAACAACTCACAGCTGCTCTTGATGAACATAACATCTATGATAGCTTCCAGTCAGGTTTTCGTAGAGCTCATTCTACTGAAACAGCTCTTCTTAGGGTCTCTAATGACCTTCTGACTCACAGTGATGCAGGGACTGCTCTGTTCTGGTCCTGCTGGACCTGACTGCAGCCTTTGACACTGTTGACCATCACCTGCTACTGGAGAGGCTGAGAGACTGGGTAGGCCTATCAGGATCTGCTCTGGAGTGGTTCTCCTCTTATCTCTCTGAGCGCTCCTTTTCTGTGGCTGACTCCAAGTTTAGGTCCTCCACCACCTCTCTTACCCATGGTGTCCCACAAGGTTCTGAGCTGGGGCCTCTGCTCTTCCTCCTCTATCTGCTTCCTCTTCCTGAGCTCCTTCAAAGGAATCTCCTACCATCTTTATGCAGATGACATCCAACTGTACATCTCCTTTAAGCCCCATGAGATGTCTAAGCTGCAGCTGTTACACACCTGCTTAGACTCTATCAAAACCTGGATGGCTGGGAGCTTTCTTCAGCTGAATGAAGATAAGACTGAGATCCTCATCTGTGCCCCAGACAAGCTGATTCCCAAAGTCAGAGACTCTCTTGGTCAGCTTGCTTCCCACACCAAACCTTCTGTCAGGAATCTTGGCGTGACCTTTGACCCAGCTCTCACCCTGGATTCTCATGTCAGTTCTCTTGTTCGCTCTTCCTTCTTCCATCTCAGGAACATTGCTAAGCTGAGTCCCATTCTGTCTCGTTCTGAACTTGAGACAGTTCTCCACACCTTCCTCTCCTCATGCTTAGACTACTGTAACTCTTTTCACGTGTCTGAGCAGAACCTCCCTGAACCATCTACAGGTGGTTCAGAACGCCTGTGCTCGGCTTCTGACCAACTCCTCCAAACACACCCACATCACCCCGCTTCTCCTCCAGCTTCACTGGCTGCCAGTCAACTTCAGGGTTCATTTCAAGATCCTGGTTCTGGTCTATAGGGCCTTACATGGACAAGCACCATCTTACATTGGTGATCTTCTTAGTCCCTACACCCCCAGCAGGTCCCTTAGGTCCAGTGATCAAAGCCTATTGGTTGTGCAGCACCAGGCTAAAGACCAAAGGTGACAGATCATCTGCTGCTGTGGTCCCCAGACTCTGGAACTCTCTCCCCCTGAACCTGAGATCAGTGGACTCAGTGGTCTCCTTTAAAAAGCAGCTGAAGACTCACTTGTTCAAGCTAACTTTTGTATGACCTTCTTCACCACTCTCTCTTTATTCTGCTCTCCCCACCTATTCCACCTTCCTCAGGATCCACTGATTTCCCTCTTTCCTGTTCACTCTCTCTCTTTCTTAATATTTTTTTATATCACAATTGTGTATTTTTTGCTCATTTTAAATATGTTTTTAAACATTTTCTAAATGCTTTTTTATATTTTTACATTTTTTGTTTTTGTGAAGCACCTCGTGATTTTTATCTTGAAAGGCACTATAGAAATGATATTTTCTTCTTTTCTTCTTCTTCACACCAGCTGCAAAGCGCCGGGAAGTGGATCGCTCACGAAATTTGTGCGCTGTCCGCTCGTCCTCTGTTCACATCAGGCGAGAATTTTCAACGAGCGCTTCTGCTCACACCTACGGTTTTCCAAACCATTATTAGATTAATTAATTAAATTAAATCCATCTTTTGCTGTAAAAACTGCATTTAAACTTATGGAAATGCTATGTTTCTCTGCTATGTGTGTTTGTGTGTGTGTGCATGCGTGTGTGTTCATTTTCATATCTCTAGTCCGTTTAGATACACAACAATGATCACATTTATCAATTGCAGTGTTGCAATTGATAAATGCACTGAAAAAACATCCAGGATTTTCTGGATTAGCAGCTAGATTTAGTTTTCATTGTCTCATAACTCACCCAACTCCTGCATGAGCAGCGCTGAGTTGAAGAGTGCTAGCTTGTGGCGCGGGTTGAGTTCCAGGGCGTGGTTGAAATTCTTTAGTGCCTCAGACGGGTCTTTCATCTCGATGTTGACGATGGCCAGGTTGTACCAAAGGTCTGCGTTGGTGCCATCGAGCTCCAAAGCTCGTAGGTAGGCATCACGAGCTTCAGATAGCTTGTTCATCTTTAGCAGCAGCTCCCCTCTGCTCAAAAAGCAAAATGGCTGAAACAGCAACATTTAATCTCTTTTACAGCTGGGTGTAGGTTCGGTGTTTTATGACACTGGTTGTTTTGCGTTGGTAAATTTAATTTGACATCGCCTGGATTAGGGCCGGGCAATATGGCCTGAAGTAAATACCGTATTGACCCGAAAATGAGAAGAGGTTTTTTTTATTGAAAATAATTTTAAAATGTGGGGTCGTCTTATAATCGGGGTCTAACCCTTACACGCCCGTAACAGCAAAGGGCGCCAGGCTGTATGTTCTCAACAGGAGAAAAAATGGAGATGAGAGGTCTGAAAATGTGGCACGTTAACAAGCTAAAAGGCAGAGTTATGCAAAATTTGAGATGACGGCGGTCTATTCAGCAGAGGCGTCAAACAATGAACGCATGGATGCCTTAAAAGGTCAGTGAGGATGACGTTCTGGGAGGAGTCAGCAGGTGTAGCGGTCTGATGAGTGAGAATGAGAGTGAGGGCGATGCAGAGGGCATTTGATGTCACATTTCAGCAAAGTTCTGACAGTTTGCGTTAAAATAGTAGTTTTTGCTCAGTATTTGTTCTCAAAATTTCTATAAAACTAGTTTATTTAAAAAGTGATTATTTTTGTCTTTTCCTGAAGATTAGTCTTGAAAGGGGGGTCGTCCTATATTTGGGTCAATACGGTATAAAAAAACTACAGGTATGCGCAGAAACGAAAGTCGTCCATTAGATGGGGCTGTCACGTGTACTACGTTGGTACAGCTTCTTAAAGGGACATGAGCGTCGCCAACCTACACACCTTTTTGCTTTTTATATTCGATATGGGAAAAACAATATAAGTTAGTCAGAAATTTTGTTAGCGATAAGGTTTGATTTACTGTGCTGTCCTAGCCTGGATATAAGCTTTTATTTAGTTAAGGAACGTGAGCCATCAAGCATTTTAAAGACTTTAAAGGCCTATTTATCTCATTCACTGCCACTGATGACTAAAGTTGCCAATTGCGTTTTAAGGTGGGGAGGGCATGGCATCTTGAAAGTAAACAACACGCCTCAAAAGTTGATTTTCATACACGTGTGTCACACTTCACGTCATCAGGAAGCAAACAATCCATGAATTAGGAGATCAATTTGGGACGCCGCTATGCCTACAGCGAGGCGCTAACCGGAAACGCTTCTGCAGCTCACACACAGCAAACAACGGATTGTGAAAAAACGGGAAAAGCTAGAAACACCCTGATTCTTCCTGATGTAAGAAGTTAGTCTACTCTTTCTTTTGGTAGTTTTGTGTTTACATGGTCAAAGAGCACAATGTTCTGTGACTCTTCAAAAAACCCTGCAAAACTGCTACAAAAACACTGGCAGTGAGGGCTTCCTGTAGAGAAAACGGCTGGCAGTAAATGCGTTAATTTATTTTAAAGCTTGTTTTGGTATAAAAGTTATCAACAATGACTGAAGAGCCTCAGTTCAGAGAAACAAGAGTGTTGAGCTGAAAGCTTATTTCACTTCCTGTTAGTTTTTTTAGTTATTCGTGGCCCTAACTGTTTTCAGGGGCGGCGTTAGGCCCGGCTACTTGGGCTGAAGCCCCGGATGTTTCATAGGAAGCCCCGGATCTAAATCGCGGAAGTAACATGCAGTACCAAAGTCCAACAGAGAGGGAGCAGCTGGCAGTAGTTTGTATACAGCCTGCCTGAGCCTCCACCACTGAAGAAGAAGCCCTTCAGCAGCAGGCTTCTTCTACACTCTCTGCCTGAAACGTATGTGTGAAGATGGACATAAGGACGTTTTTTTAGACACGAAGTACGGCGACAGAACCCCAGCTTTGATGAGACTGGTGCTGACTCAGGTTTGTGAGTCTTATTTAAAAATATTTGTTGTGCTGCTGGTTTGCCTAAAGTTAGCTTACTATCCGGTAAAGTTGATGGAGAAAGAAAGGGAATATTTACAATCATCTCACACTAAACACTAACAGGAACAATACTCTGCCCTGAATATGCTTAATATGTAGCTTCAGATTAAAAATTATGTGGTACAAGACATATATGATGTTGACTAGTGCGTGTCACGTGTGTGTGTGTGTGTGTGTGCGTGCACGTGTGCGTGCGCGCGTGTGTGTGCGTGTGTTAAGCCCCGGATGTTCTTCAGTCCTTAATCCGCCCCTGCCTGTTTTTGTTGTCTGACATTCTTTCTTTGCACAAACAGAAGAGAGACGCAAGGTTTATTGGTGGTTTTTACTCTTTGTGTTTGGCAGTTTTTAATCTCTGTATTTGCATAAACAGACAATAAAAGGAATTATATTCTATTCATCTGGTCAGTATTTTCAAAGATACTTTATTAATCTCAGAGGGAAACGGGGAAGTTCCAAGACATTTAAATAACCAAGAGTGTTGTGGTTGTGCCAGAACTTCCTCTTTTTATCTTCCTTTTTAATCTGATTTGAACTTCTGGTATATCTGGTGTTATTGCCGTTTTCATCCTTGGTTTTTCTTACATTTCTATCTATGAAGGTGAAGCCCCTCTGGGGTCATGCAGCTCTTTACAAAAAAAACCCAAACTGAAATTCAGGAAAAACAACAACTCGTACTGGAAAATAAAGTTTTATACAAAAACTGTTAGAAAACAGAAACAATACACTTTGGATCTGATTAGCTTAGACCAAGCCCCCATAATTCGGGTCTGAAAATGAAGCCAACACAGAAGTAAGAAAAATTGCAGTTCCACCCTCATCCGCTGGGGGCTGGTGTCAGAAGCGAGCAAATCCTCATTGACTCCCATGTTAAAAACACCAATTTCACAGCAGAAATAAACATGTTTACAGCCTGGTACCAAAACATGTTTTTGGTTTAAATGATCTAGTTTACACTCATGACAACTCTGACGGGGGTGAATTTTTTTCTCACTCTTCTGTTTAAGTGTATTAAAAGCCTAAAATTCTGTATAATTAATGAGCATCCGACCCACGTGACCACAGAGCTAGCTCCGTGGAAAGGCCTCAGTAGAGCCTCGGTCTGGCTTGGAAACTGCTCCGGGATTTTGAGTCTCTGTGTGTGTGTATTCTTTTTTGGATATTATTTGTGCAATTGTTGGACAAAATGACTTGCTGTGGCATTAATTGCACTATTAGAGCGTCCAAGGAGTCTCCACTTTATTTTTTTCGGTAAGTAAAATTATATTTATGTATTTTAGGTCACTGCCGAGCTGAGCTTAGATTTTAACATGTACTGTTTAACCATGAAATTTAAATGTAATAGGGTAAAACCCAGTGCATTTAACATAATGCTGCACTTTAGAAAATGGGTTGAAATATAACATGTTGGTGGAGCTGGGTTCCGACTATCGGTATGTCTCCTTCCCCTCGGCGGCAGCTCGGCGCATCTCAGATCGCAGCGGCGCTTGTCTGCTGTGCGGCTGCCGGCTTGTGGAGATCTCGGAGACCTCTGTGTTCCACCCGGTTTTACCCAGCGATCAGCCCGGCGTATCTCTGACTCAGAAGCTCTGGTGTTGTGCACAGTTAACTCCGGTTGTAGCTAGGTTGCTACCTCCGTTAGCTTAGCTCCCACCTCAGCGTTAGCTTTGGGTTAGCTTGTAGCTACATCGCTTCAGTTCGACGGGTGTTGTCAGTTGATCCCAGCCTTACAGCCCCACCCTCAGCTCCACCTCTTTTCCCTTTTTTGGAATTGTCTGGGTTTGACGGAATCTGTGACACGGTCAAAATGGCGGTGGTGGCCACCTCCCATTTTGGCACAAAAAATTATAATTGGAGCCTACGGACACGAATTGTCCAGTATATATGTCGATGGTTTAGACCAGCTTTTAGCTCATCAGTGCTGGATGATGTAAACTTTCATTTTCCTAATGGAAAGCTATGTACAATGAATAAAAAGGCAACTATTAATCACTTATAAACACTGAGACACACTTCATAATGACTAAACTAAGCCTTTATCCAATAGTCCAGGGTTCAGAAGCTCCTACCTGCTGATGTAGGCTTGTTTGAAGTCTGGCCTCATGCTGATTGCCTGTCTGTAGAGCTGATCAGCCTCCTCCAGCCGTGAGTTGTTGGCCCGGATCAGATTAGCCAGGTTTATATAAACATTGAGGTGATTTGGTGCCACACGTGTTGCATACTTCTTTCCTGGAATAACCTGCGTTATGGACAGATATGTCATTAGTCTTAGAGAGTCCATAGTGGAAAACAAAGTAGAAAATAGTACAAAAGTAGTCTAATCTCATTTATTTAAAGTGAATGTTTTTCTTTGATGTAGCAGCTTGTTTCAAAGAATATCAAACATGTGTGATATTTCTGGCTCCAGCCGTGAGTCTTTTATGTAACCACAACTTGAACATGGCAGCGTTTTTTGACAGCTAGATATCAAAGTTAGCTTCAAATGCTAAATGCATTGAGGTGGGAGAGGTGGCTACTGGAAGTAAACGACTAGTGAACAGTGCCATGCAATCTAAAATAGTTCATTCGTGCCACAACTTGCTCACGGGTGGAGTCACGTTGATGAGTGTGGTGACATTTATGCAAATATACCTTCTTCTATGGGGCTACAAAAACAAGCACTACAAACAAATCAAGCTGAAACTATGAAAAGCTTTGGATGACAGATGAGCCTCCATGGAGCCGTGGGCTGTTTGAACTGCATGTAAAATGATTAGATACCTGTGGCATCAGGGATTTGGCAACCAAATAAGCTTCTTCTGCCTCTTTGGACCTGTTCAGGTTCTTATAGGTTCTACCGACATTCATGTGAGCGCCAATGTCATCTACAGAATGAAAAACAAGAACACAGACAGAAGAGACAGTTTTTACACATCATTTGATCTTGTTAGACCAGGCTCATACCAAGTCTAAATAAATACATTTGACTTCTTTGTATATTTAACAGGAAAAGGCTTGAGTTGTAGCAGACTAGAAGCAAATAAATCCTGCTGAGAGCCAAAGGCAGCGAAGCATTGCAGCAGGTCATCCGGGGCATGAAGAGCTGGTTCTTGGTTATTATAGAGTGAAACCCCGCTGGGTTGGTGTGTTTACACTGGTTATCTTGGGGAAACACTGATGACAGGCTTCCTGAAAACTGTGGAATGACAGGAATCCTGAAACCTGGGAGGGGCCTAAGCTGCTGCCCGCTTTACGTAATAAAGTGACAGAACTTTGCTTTAAGTGAGAGCAGTCATGAGATCACAGTGTTTAATGGATGGACTCGGAACAACGGGTTGGCTTTTAACCATGTGATGAGTGAAGATCAAGAGCCACTACACAAGTATGTAATGCTCCAACAGTCATCCCTTTCATCCAGAATGAACTCATTCAATTTCATCCTGCCTGCACAAAACACTGTTATGTGTGAGGTTATGCTCCATTATGTACAGACTAAATTTAACCTGTCCTTGATTCTGCTCATTTGTCCTGGATTTTTTTAAATGACACACTTTTGTTTGTTTGTTTTTCCTGTTTTTTTAATCCCATCTTCTGTTACCCTTTTATCAAGGGCAACAGGAAATCTAACAAGGGCAGTAACAGAAGCTGGTTGCGTAAAGAAGAAATGATGGCTGTTGTTATTCCACATGCAGCCTGTTTTTAGGTGAAAGTATTTGTTTACTGCATGCCATGCCAGTTTTTATGATTGTTGCTGGAACATTGAGACGACGTGGCCTTTTGTGAACTTCCTCGTGTTTCTAGAAGAATTTTGATCAAGGCGTTTTACAGAAGCGTGACAAAGCTGCGACCACAGTGTTGTAGAACACATATATGATCACAAAGTTTGCTGCCTTGGTTTTTATGATGACAGTTTACATATGCCCCATAATGTTATGATACTTTATTCTAATTCATAGACACAATCCTGCCATCATCCGTGAAACCTCTGGCCACAGCTGTAGTTTGTTTCTGTTCATGCTGGCTCCAGAACGGCCTGATCTTCAGGCTGCTTCCCACACTGGCACCATATCAGGGAGTTTCTCTGAAGGTGAGATCGCACACAGAGCACCCAACCACCGAAAACATTCTGTGATGTCCCACAAAAAATCCAAATCCAAATCTTTTCAATCCAGTAACCGCAGCACACTTTCCACCAGCTGTAGAATACCATCACTTCATCTTATGTGTGTTTGATTGAAGTCTCTCACCTGGCTGGACATGAGTAGCCTGGAGAAAATACCGCAGGGCCATTGCATAATTATTCTGGTTCTCTAAAGCGTGGCCAACATTATTCCATAGTTTGGCATTGTTCTTGTTAACCTGAAATGACACAACACTTAATAAACACTTCAATCTGCTTTGTAAAAGGCTGATCTGTCAAAGCCGAGTTAGCCATTAAGATTATTTAGAGAAGTTCTTCATGAAGAAATAAATACGCTTCTTTAACACAGGCAAACAGAGATTATTTTAGCAACATGGTCACAGTCTAGAGAGCTTACCTTCAGGGCAGAAGTGAACAAAGTGTATTCTGACTCCCAGTCCCAGTTTCTGTTGAATGTTTTCACTGCATGTGTAGTTAGCAGCACTCCGATCATCAGCCAAGAAATCTTCTTTAATGGTCTGAAAAAAGGTCATTTGAAGCCTTTATGACAGACTCAGCCTTGTTCCCACAAATCAAAAAGGAAACAGTGACACTATATGCTCTGACCCTAGTGCTGTAAGTCGGTGACCGGTTCACAACCACTGGCCCATTACACAAATACAAATACACAAAACTAAATACCTTCAACCAGAGATGTAACTGCAAGAATGGCCAGACTATACTTGTGAAAATGTGCAATATGAATCCATCCTGCAGGCCACGAGAGCTAACTTCACAATGGCTGTTTGAATCTGAATTCCTTTGAAACACCATTTATAAGTATAGTTGATTCTATGAATATCGCCAGCAGGTGTTTATACATCCTACACGAGGCACCCTACGCATCTCCAGTTCACATTAGTGTTTAAAATAATTGATCAATAAGGAACAATACCAGATTCCAACTGTTGTTTGAAACTGCACTTATAAACTACGCTGCTAAGACCTTTATAAATGTGGTGATATTAGCTTACCTGTTAGCAGGAATAATGTGATCTGTACCGATAAACGTCTCCCTGCTCTGTGATCCTCTACAGAAACTCAGAGGATCTAACGTTTACTGGAAGGGGCCTTTTAGTCTTGTAAGATTATTTTAGTTTCAACAGTTACTTGGAGAAATATGCCACATTTCATGAGTATTGATAAGTTTAAATATAAACAGCAACCAAAAAGCAACAATGATTTGTCAAGTCATGTGCTTATACATCTACCAATTAGTAGGAGTTTTTATATTTAAAATAACAAGGCTATGTTTCACCCACGGCCCACTTTAGCACTGGGTTGTGATCGGTTTAATGCACTAATGATGTTGATGATGCGAATGTTAGAATGCTGTAAACTCATCAGTTTCTGCTTAAACGCTGGATTAAGTGGAACTTTAAAGACTCCACAACAGTCTTGTTTAAAAACGATTTGCATTCCCTTATTTCCATGGCTTCATCATCTGGACTAGTAAAATCTCAACAAGCCTTCATCAGAGTCAAAGAGATTTCAATCAATCTCAAGTTACAGCAATGGTGCACCAGGAGAGCTCCACCTGCGAGGGTGAACCTGATGGCTCAAATGCAACAGGGCTGGGCATTAATACTGCTCTACAACAATGGTCACAGCCCACACAAATGCTACACAAACCTGGTTGAATCCCTGAAGAAGGCTTGCATGCAGAAATGCGTTGGGAGTTTTATTAGTCCAGATGACTATTCCATAAAGGTAAAGAAAGGCATTTTAATTTTTTTTAAGAGAGAATGTCTTGGAGTCTCTGACATTCAATTTGTGTGGCTATCCAATACAAACCGCATCTCATCAGAACCTACATCAAATTCATGAAACACTCCTACAAACAGACATTTAGTATCTGGCTTAGGTGGGTTAATTCAGATAACTAGAATGTTCTAGCAATGCTTCTCTTAAAAAAGATGTGGCAATATCTTTTCATTAACCCCTAAATTTCCAGGTTTAATGAATCCAATGGGGTCTTGTTCCATGGGTGGGATGTTGGGATGCTAAGGCATTCAGATGAGATAAATAGTAGGGGAACGGATTTAGTATGCTGCCCCTTCACTCTAGAGCTCACTTCCTCTGTTAGTCGGACAGGCTTCATGCATTAAACCCTGTCTAAAGACCCACTTGGCCTTCGGTTGGTGAACGTTATGTTTTGTACCGTGGTTTTATTGCTGAACTGTTCTTATCCATTGTTTTGATCTGATTTGTCGTACTTTGTGCTGTACAGTGCTTAGTCAGCTCCCATACTGTGTTTACAACTGCTATATAAATAAATGGTATGGTATAGTAAATGTTAGAACGGCTTGCCATAGACAGTGCTACTGTCTCCCTCTCCCCTGCAGTCGTGCAAACACCACCAGAATGGTAAATGGCCTGTATTTAATATAGCGCCTTCTAGAGTCCTGAAACCCCCCAAGGTGCTTTACAACACAATCAGTCATTCACCCATTCACACACACATTCACACCCTGGTGATGATGAGCTACATTGTAACCACAGCTGCCCTATGAATTAAAATATTTTTAAAGACTGGGTGATGATTTTGTTAAAATTAGCTGCCAGCACAACATTGCAGATGTTTTGGCAGATGCTGGAAGTTTACTAGAAAACATTTTTTGAAACAAAGCAATGATTCTAGCATTGCAATTTTTTGTGCAACCATTATTCTACGCAAACACTTACCCAGTGTGAGAGACAATCTTGAATCCATGTGCTATGAGAACACAGAATCCCATACTGGGAACATAAAGAACCCTCTCGGCCACAACAAAACCCACTGGGAAGAAGAGGTTGGACGCTGGAACAAAAGGCAGGACGATCAAAGACAACGCCTGAAGAAGAAACAATGAAGGGAAAAGAGAGTTCAGAATACTTGCTTAAAAAATGAGCAATAAAGTACTAATAAAAATATTCTGCTGCCAAAAAATGTTCCTTTCAATAAGCACCAAAACACAAAACTTACTGATCTTGTCTCAGAGGTTTATTAAGCGAGCAGAGAAAACCTACATACTAGAGTTCTTGTTACATGCAACACTTCAGGCCTAATCCTGATGCTGCATGAGTGAAATAAACATAATCAGCTGTCATGAATTTCTTTACTCTGGAGATGAAACACAGTAAAACAGATCTAACTGATTTTGCATATGTGTGAAATTCCCTCTGAACATACAAAATGTCAGAAATGATATTAGTGATAGAGTAATAATTTGATAATGAAGTTAACTGGAGGAGGAGTTGAAAAATAACAAATTCATTTCAGAAATAAATATGTTTTGAAAAATGGGCGAAATAAGTGGGTGTTGAGGATGTGTGAGTAATTGGAAAAACTTAGTGGAAGGAAGACATCCATCTTTAAGATTAATAACTTAGAAAGTACATTTGTCTTGAGCTACATTCTGCGGCAGCTTGCATGATTACTTTGAGAAGTTTCATGTTGAACTACCTGTGGTCATACCACTTTGTTTTCATATAAAACCAGTAGCCACTGTAAGCAGGGTTTCCCAGTGGAAACCATTTATCCGAAGCTACACGTCAAACTCTTTTTAAGTAGGTTTAGGTGACACGCTAACCTTAAGCAACATATTATAAAAGGTTTCCTGCAAACAGAGTAAAGCCTGGTTCATGCTTCTCCGTCAGCTCCGCAAGGGACAGACACGCACGGATTGACGGAAGCGTTTTGCTCTCATACTTCTCCGTCACCTGGAGAGTGTTGCAAAGCAAGTGCCCGGCAGGTCAACAGAGGGCGTAGCGCTGTTCTGTGGTATCCTGTCATGTATCGGTCCAAGATAGTGTGTTTATATTGTGTTTTTTGTGTATATAAGAGACTTTTAACACGGACATATTTGTCTCTCATTCTCCCACCTCTTCATGCGCTCCCCACCTCTAAACCCACGTTTCCTGTCATTTCCGTCCACAAATAAAACGCTTGCTGCGCATCTTTTCACTCCTCCAGTCACGGGAGAATTAAACGTTCATATTTTTAGAGTTTTTTCGCGAGGTATTCTTCAAGCTTCTCCGTGTCTGCCGCTAGTTATCCTCGGCTCTCTTTGCAATGGCGGCGCTGTAAACAACAGCGGCGTCCTGACCAATCACAAGCTTGTGTAATCCGTCTCTTTCGACGGATGTTTAAAAAAGTGGGCGCGACTCCGTACGTACTTGCGTGCCTGCCGGAGCCCTACGCAAGGACGGATAATGGCGTTGCGTGTCTCCGCACTGACGCAGACGGAGAAGCATAAATCAGGCTTAAACACTGCTCAACCCATAGCGGACTTTATCTCGCGTTGCTCTTTCTGCAAATGAAAGCTTTAGAGAAAGGCTGCGAGGACGTTCACTGGCCTCTGACAACTACTAGCCTGTTGCACAACAGATGCTAATTTGTTTCTGCGTCCCACTGTGAGCAAAAACCACCCATGTTCTCCCTCAAATGTTAAGCTGAAGCTCTGCGTTTTGTTGGTGGTAATTACCTTGATTTACTTTTGTTGTCTGATGATTTGTTACTATGTGAACCAGAGAGCTGAAAAAAAAAATTTAATCTAGCCTGTCCAGAGATGAAAGCCGGGACAAGAATAATGGTTGCTTTCATCGTTAGCTAATATGCTGATCCGGAATATTATTTAGCAGGAGAAACCATAATTGTGTTTGCCGTGTCCATGAAGAAGTGGACGTGCCTGCTGGAACGAAACCACGTCCTCTGCTGTATCTGGTATTGCCAGTTCTCTGCCCCTGAAATGAGGTTGTGTAAAAACACAACGGGTTCTTTCATTGCTAAACTGGTTACATCCTAGGAGCCTTTTCAAATCATTCTGAGGGGCTTAAAGAACGTCTTGTGTCAGAGCTGGGGAGTAAAACAGAGCCACAGTGTTTACATAGCAAACGGAAATTTATAAATGAAGATATTAAACTCACTCATTGAAGAGCCTTAATTTGTATCATATGAGGAAATGGAAGCATGTGAATGTAAAAATTGTCACAATGCCATCACTCGACTGTATACTGAAGAATGCGGCAGTTCATCCTCCCTGCCTCTGTCAAGCAACAGCGTGTTTTTAGATGACTTTCAGGTGGATTTGATCTACTCATCAGAAGTTTGTTGAAGTGAATCAGCTTGTTAATTTGTCATTATTACAGCTATTTGTTAGGGATTCACGGAACACTGCTCACTAGCATAGCCGTTTCACAAGATACCAAATCCGGGATGCATTATGTTAGGAAAACATGACATTCCAGTAAAAAAATATGCAGAATTTGATGTAATCTTCTGCTGTAATAAACATGAATTTACCTGACTACTGCCCTTTGTCTAGTTAATGCAATGCCCACCTTCTAAACCACTATCTATCATGTGGGCCTTAAATTAAACTAAAAGGGTTCTATCCAAGAGTCATACAAAGTTTTAGTAAGTAACATGCATACAATCTTTTACTGCAGTCAGAATAAAAACAGAAAACTGAATTTGAAAGTAAAAGCAGTGTAATGCAAAACAGATAGAGATGTAAAAAGTTATGAAATAACATCACATCAGTCACAGAAACTCACACCCGTCTGAGCTGCACTAGTTTCAGAACACTGAGTTTACTCAGGAATTATACAACGTATACGATTAATTATACATTGTTTCTATTTTTCGCACAGAAAAAACCCAAACACTTGAAAATGGCTGAAAAATCCCCTTGAGAATAAAGCAAATTGAAACATTGTTTAATACTATGGTACTCCGGTAGTATGGGATACCAGGCAGAGGTGGACCGATGTTTTTTTTTTATTGCCAATATGTACTGCAAATGTTTACGGGCAGATGTTCAGGGCCAATATCTAGACTTTTTCCACCTTATTTTCAGGCTAAACTGTCATTAATAACTTCGGTTGACGTACAGCGTTTCTGAAGCTGAATCAGTTTTTGAACTTTGAATTTAACCAACTGTGAAATTTTAACTTTTTGCACTGCTCAGTGTTAAAGTCAGACATCTAAATAAATGATGCAGATGTTATTAGTGAACATAAAAATACATTTAAATTCAATTCTGCAACAACAACGGGCTGCCCGAGGATGCGCCTGTCTGTAAATCGGCTTTAGCAAAGACGAATATTGGCCGATGCACCAAAAATGGTAAATATCAGCCTGGGTCGACCTATTTATTTGTCTACCCCTAGTACCAGGCTCCTCAATACGGCTGTTAGGTCCCTGTATGATTGGTGTAAGAGCTTCGTCCGCATTGCCAGCAGTAAGTCAGGCTTCCTTTGTATATTCCTTCTGTGTGTTTCTTCTTAATGGAGAAGGAAGTGACACCGCCATTAGTGGCTAGCTCTGATGAGGACCGCAGGAGTGGTCAAAATGGTCAGCAAGGTAAAAAAAAAAAAAAAACCTTTTCTGTGTTAAAAAAAGAACTTAAAAATGCAGTAAGTCAGCTTGTTCCCGGTGAGAGCTGGACTCTGCCAAGGCTGCCCTTTGTCACCAATTCTACATCTAGGAGCAACAAAAGTGTTGAGGGCATTTGTTCTGGTAACTTAAGGATCAGGTCTCTGTATTTTGCAGAGGATGTGATCCTGTTGGCTTCATCAGAACGTGATCTCTGGCGGTTCACAGCCAAGTGTGAAGTGGCTGGGATGAGAATCAGCTACTCTAAATTTGAGACCATGTTCTTGTGTCAGAAAAAGGTAGAATGCCTTCTCCGGGTCATGGGTGAGGTCATGCCTCAAGTGAAGGGGTTTAAGTATCTCGGAGTTAGGGAAAGATGGAGCGCGAGATCAATAGGCGGATTGGTGTTGAATCTTTGCTGTTATTTTATTGCTGTAAAGTGTCATTGTGTCCCTTGAAAGGCACTTTTAAATAAAATGCATTAGTATTATTATTATTATTATTGTTACTATAATTATCTGTGGGCGTTGTACCAGTCTGTCGTGGTGAAGAAAAAGCTGAGCCAGAAGGAGGAACTCTCAATTTACTGGTCGATCTATGTTCCTACCCTTCCCTAAAGTCTTGAGCTTTGGGTAGTGACCGAAAGAATGAGATTGCGGATACAAGTGAGTTTTCTCTGGGGGTGGCTGGGCTCTCCCTTAGAGATAGGGTGAGAAGCTTGGTCATCTGGGAGGGGGTCGGAGTTGATCCACTGCTCCTCCACATTGAGAGTAGGTGGCTCGGGCATCTGGTTAGGATGCCTCCTTTGTGAGGTTTTCCAGGCACGTCCAACCAGGAGGAGACCTAAGGAAAGACCCAGAACACGCAGGAGGGACAATGTTTCTCATCTGGCCTGTGAACACCTTGGGATTTCCCCGGAGAAGCTAGCCCCAGTGGCCGGGAAAAGGAAATTCTCTGGGCTTAGGCTGCTGCCTTACCGACCTGACCCTGGTAAAGCAGAGGAAAATGGACTGATGGATTGTGATAATCTGTATCTATCACAACACTGTCTTTGTGGTTTAGCATTTATGCAAATATATTTTATCATCTGGACATTTTAGGACAGCAGATGGTCATCTAACTGCATCTAACTAAGTTTTGGCATACAATCAGGGGCTGCTATTTATTAAAAAAAATAATCATTTATTGCTCTTGTGAAGCCCCTCGTGATTATTATCTTGAGAGGGACTATATGGTCAAGATGAACTTAAGGAATTTGGGTGTCGTTTTTGACCAGTCAATGTCTCTTGAAGGCCATTCAAAAACGTTGGTCCGAAACGGTTTTTATCATTTAAGAAATATCTCCAAACTGCGAAGGTTGGTGTCAAAAACATGAACTTGAAAGGGTTCTCCATGCCTTTATCTCCTCCCGTCTAGATTACTGTAACACTCTTCACACGTTTTAACAAAAAATCCCTGACCGCCTTCAGTTGGTCCAGAATTCTGCAGCGACGCTCATAACTGGAGCAAACAGAAGAACTCACATCACTCCCGTTCTGATGTCTCTGCACTGGTTACCCGTTAACTTGAGAGTTCATTTTAGAGTCCTGACTATAACTTTCAGGGCTCTACATGGTCAAGCTCCTCCTTATATTACTGAACTGTTAAAGCCTTATGCTCCAACCCTCACGTCCACCCACCAGAACCTTCTAGAAGTTCCCAAGACCAGATATAAAAGTCGAGGTGATCGCTCCTTTCACTGTTGCACCCCGACTTTGGAATGATCTTCCTTTATCCTTACGCAGCGTTGACAGTCTGGACACTTTAAAAAAATGGCTAAAGACCCTTTTATTTAAAGCTGCTTTTAACTAAACCTGTTATTTTCTTATTTTTAACTCAAAATTGTAATCTTTCATCTGTTTATGAAATTTAATAATTGTATGCCTTTATTTTTCTGATGTTAATCTATTTCTGTTTGAGATCATTACAATTTTATGACTGTTTTATTTTGTTTTGATCTTTGTGAAGCACTTTGTGATAAGTGCTATATAAATAAAATGTACTTACTATATAAACAATTTCTTCAATTATTTGCAATATTTATGATGTGCACAGTTATGATGTACTTTCAATATGTTGTGCAGACACGGGACAAACTTAGTGTATATAAAAGCAGAAGGAAAGAACTATGGATATCTGATATTATTGGTCTACCATTAATTTTGGCTAATAACAGCCAGACTGGTTTTCAGTCTCTTAATAACCCTACTTTTACATTCCATACACATATTAAATATCAAACTCTTCAGCTACTTCTCCTCTCTCCCTCGCTCTTTCTCAAAATATCTAAACATGACAGATGTGATGTAAAAGTTTTTGAGATATTTTAGTTTATTTGGCACAACTTGTGAAGTAGAAATTAGCCCTTTGTGATTATTGTACAGTGTCCTCAGATCACGTAGCTACGTGTAGCAACAAGGCAGGGGCGTGTCCAGGGATTGGCCTGGGGTAGCACATGCCACCCTTAGAATCTGATTGGCCACCCCCAGGTGCCACCCTACCAAGTTCCAGTTTAAATTGACTTTACATTGTCGACAAAAGGCTTGGGTTGAAAACTCCAATATAGTGTGGTAGCATGCACCTTTAACATTGTTTACTAGCCCAGGCCTACAGAACATTTCTGTAGTATTAATATTATTTATTATTTTTTCATATTTACGTAAATAGTATTTAGAGTCCCACTCAACTCTAGTTGGTGGCAGTAATGCAACAAGAAGTGACTTGCTAATCACCACAAAACTAGAAGATGAAGAGGAAAAAATGGTGACTGTGCAATGTGAAACTCAAAAATTCACTAGAAAGTAAAACAAAAAAAAACCTAAATAAACGATTTGTGCAAATAAATAAATAAGCATAATCATTGGTGTCACCCATGCATGAACAAGTGCCCCACATGGGCCACCCCATTTTAAAAGTCCTGGACACGGCTCTGGAACTTGCTCACTTTCCTTTGAATATGGCACAATGCTGGTACAAAGACTGAACTGAAAGTTGGTGAAAAAGAAGCCAAAGTCCAAAGAAAAAGATCCTTACGTAGTTCTTCAGAATTCATTAAGTGTTTGCAGAGAAAAGCATGCATGCTACGGGTTATTGATAGATGAAATCTCTTCGCCGCAACACAAAATGTACAATACAGCAGAATTAAGATGGAAGCAAGAAGATTCGTGTGTATTAGAACTGTGGTTCGCAAACATTTCACTCAACAGAATACCTGGCATAGATGCAGGGGTGTGTACAGGGGGTGGCCTGGGGTAGCACATGCCACCCTTGGAATCTGATTGGCCACCCCAGGTGCCACCACACTAATTTACCATTAAATAGGCTTTTCATTGTTCACAAAAGGCTTGGGGGTACAACAAAAAAGCATAACCATTGGTGCCACCCATGCACAAAGTTGTGCCTCACCTGGGCCATCCCATTTTAAAATATCTGGACATGCCACTGCACCAAGGCTTGCTATTCTTATCCGAAGATATCTTAGCATCACGCTTAGGGAGAATGAGACTTAAATTGAAGTAAATGTAATTTTGCAAAGACAATGTTTACAATTTAAGCATGCATGAAAGAAGAAATGTGGTTTTGGTAATATTTTAGTTTTTCTTTTATTATGAGAGGAGACAGCATACAGGTGCTGGCCAGTAAATTAGAATATCATCAAAAGGTTGAAAATATTTCAGTAATTCCATTCAAAACGTGAAACTTGTACATTATATTCATGCAATGCACACAGACCAATGTATTTCCGATGTTTATTACGTTTAATTTTGATATTTATAGGTGACAACCAATGAAAACATCAAATCTGGTATCTCAGAAAATTAGAATATTCTAAAGGCCAATGAAAAAATGTTTGTTTCTCTAATGTTGGCCAACTGAAAAGAATGAACATGAAAAGAATGTGCATGTATAGCACTCAATACTTAGTCGGGGCTCCTTTTGCCTCAATAACTGCAGTAATGCGGCGTGGCATGGACTCGATCAGTCTGTGGCACTGCTCAGGTGTTATGAGAGCCCAGGTTGCTCTGATAGTCGTCTTCAGCTCCTCTGCATTGTTGGGTCTAGCGTATTGCATCCTCCGCTTCACAATACCCCATAGATTTTCTATGGGGTTAAGGTCAGGCGAGTTTGCTGGCCAATCAAGGACAGGGATACCATGGTCCTTGAACCAGGTGCTGGTGGTTTTGGCACTGTGTGCAGGTGCCAAGTCCTGTTGAAAGGTGAAGTCTGCATCCCCATAAAGTTGGTCAGCAGCAGGAAGCATGAAGTGCTCTAAAAATTCCTGGTAGACGGCTGCATTGACCCTGGACCTCAGGAAACAGAGTGGGCCAACACCGGCAGATGACATGGCACCCCACACCGTCACTGACGGTGGAAACTTTACACTGGACCTCATGCAACGTGGATTCTGTGCTTCTCCGCTCTTCCTCCAGACTCTGGGTCCTTGATTTCCAAAGGAAATGCAGAACTTGCTTTCATCAGAAAACATAACTTTGGACCACTCAGCATCAGTCCAGTCCTTTTTGTCCTTGGCCCAGGCGAGACGCTTCTTGCGCTGTTTCATGTTCAAGAGTGGCTTGACACACGGAATGCGACACCTGAATCCCATGTCTTTCATGAGTCTCCTCGTGGTGGTTCTTGAAGCGCTGACTCCAGCTGCAGTCCACTCTTTGTGGATCTCCCCCACATTTTTGAATGGGTTTGTCGTCACAATTCTCTGCAGGGTGCGGTTATCCCTAGAGCTTGTACACTTTTTTCTACCACATTTTTTCCGTCCCTTCGCCTGTCTGTTAATGTGCTTGGACACAGAGCTCTGCGAACAGCCAGCTTCTTTAGCAATCACCTTTTGTGTCTTGCCCTCCTTGTGCAAGGTGTCAATGATTGTCTTTTGGACAGCTGTTAAGTCAGAAGTCTTCCCCATGATTGTGGTGCCTTCAAAACAAGACTGAGGGACCTTTTAAAGGCCTTTGCAGGTGTTTTGAGTAAATCAGCTGATTAGAGTGGCAGCAGGTGTCTTCTATATTGAGCCTTTTCAGAATATTCTAATTTTTTGAGATACCAAATTTGGAGTTTTCATTAGTTGTCACTTATGAATATCAAATTTAAATGTAATGAACATTGGAAATACATTGGTCTGTGTGCATTGCATGAATATAATGTACAAGTTTCACGTTTTGAATGGAATTACTGAAATATTTTCAACCTTTTGATGATATTCTAATTTACTGGCCAGCACCTGTATTGGAAATAAAGATTCAGTCAATTTTGGTATATATCGGATATCAGTAAACAAAAATTACTTATCAAGCATCCTTAGAAAGAACTCATGTTAAAAAATGTTGTGAGTCAGCTATTAAATACCAGCAAATTGATTTGGATTTTGGAAAGACTTTCTAATAAAAACTAAATCTTCAGATTTGTGGCAACCACATAAGTTGTAATAAAAATGAAAAACAGTAGATGGTCACTTCCAGAGTCTATAACTACTGAAGGCAGAGAGTCATCTGTCAATCTTCAGACTTTTGCATTAAGCTCTACTTTCATCAAGAGGAACACTCTTTACGGTTCAGTTAGCCCCTTTGAAAAAATAAAAATGCATTAAAAAATTCCCCAGACTATTTAGAGAACTCACCATGATGACTGTCTTGGCTGAGGTATGCCTGTAGCGCAGGCTGTGGTGGGCCAGTAGTCCCAGAAATGTGTAGAGCATCAAGGTGGCCAGGTTTCGAAAGTCCAGAAGTGATTCTACCAGGGGGATGGTACCCATAGTCCAGTCACAGCAGAGCTCTGATGGATTCAGCAGAAGCCATGCATTCACAGGAAGCAGGAAGTTGAAAGTCAGTTGTCTTGATGGAGTGGGACTGACTGCTGCTGGGTTATCAAATCTACAAAAAGACAGATTCTAATTTATTCATTAATGTAGGAAGAGAAAAAGGTGTAATGTATAATGAAAGAGCCATTTTTAATAAGTAAAATAAATAACAGCTTGACAAAAGAAGGAACGAAGATCATTCAGTGAATGAATGGTTGTATTTACAGTAGGTACGAAAAGTATTCAGACCCCCATCAATTTTTCACTCCGCTATATTGCAGCCATTTGCTAAAATACATTAAATTCCTTGTTGCCCTCATTAATGTACACACAGCACCCTATATTTAAAGAAAAACACAGAATTTTAGAAATGTATGCATATTTTTTCTAATGGAAAAACTGAAAAATCACATGGTTCTAGGTATTCAGACCCTTTGCTCAGAATTTAGAAGCACCCTTTTGAGCTAATACAGCCATGAGTCTTCTTGGTAAAGATGCAACAAGTTTCTTACACCTGGATTTGGGGATCATCTGCTATTCCTCCTTGCAGATCCTCTCCAGGGGTTTCATTTATAAAACATTGCACAGAATCCTTACTAAAACCGTACTTAAGCTCAGCAAAAAAATTTACTCACGCCAAGTAAGCTTGTGACCTATAAAACATGGAGTACGCACAGCTTCATGCAATCTCTGCTTTATAAATCACAAACTACCTAGAAATGTTCTCAGGTGTTTCTTGATCACATACCGCCCTCAACACGCCCACTTTCTGCCATAAATAGTCAATGCAAAGTGCCTTGTGGATCTCATGCACATACATAAGCCGGCTCGTTGCAACACTCCACCCTTAATGATGACGACCGCAGATCAAGGAAGCGCAATTTCACCAAAGCAGAAGTTGAGCTACTTGTGGGTGAGGTGGAGAAATGAAAGGAAATGCTTTTGCAAAACAAATAAGAGAAAATCCACAGAGTGGCCCAGCGTTGCTGAAGCCGTCAATGCTGTGAATTCTTCAGAGAGATCTGCGGCAGATCTGAAGGTGGAGGCAAAAACAAAAACAAAAATGAAGATGTTTTCCCACCGATAGAGTGTGTCTGCCACTGGCGGAGGCCCTGGCACCTCTGATTAGGGTATCGAGCATCGATTTGAACCGGGACAAACTGTTACTTTTTCCCGGATTCCTTCAAAGTTTTTTATTTCGATTCCTAAAATGCTGACCAGAAGAGGAATCCGCGGCCGATCTCCATGAAAAATAAATGTGATCTGTAAATTGTGATCAACGCTTTTCAGAGCTGGTCACACCTGCTGTCTGTGTGCAGCACCGAGTCCCCCCTCCCCCCACCCGGTGCGCAGCGGCCAAATATAAACAAACGTGTCTGCCTAACTTTTACTCCGTAATGTAAACTTTAACTCCTGCAGCGTAGAGGAAACTTGTTAAAATACGTCAACACTGTGGATTTAGTAGAAGCTTTAAAGAAAAAACTCTGGATGGTATGAGGTGAGTTTGTCTCACTGCAGAAATAAAAACGCACACGGAGCGTCAGCAGTCAGACACAGCCGCTTGAGCGTCAGAAGGCTGAACAATAACCTGTAGAATAATTAAAGTCATCATGCTAGAGAAGCTTTCTCTGTGGTGGACGACACCAGCTTCTGCCACAATAAATAATTATAATAAATAACATTTTTTATTTCCTTTCTGAACTATTTCTGTTGAGTTTTAATGTTTAAATCTGTTAGATTGTTACTGCCAACAGCCACATTTAAGTTTCCCTTCCTGTTCTGACTGAAGCTGCTGCAGCATGGAGGTGTAGTTCTCAGTCATCCTGGACATGATCATCCTGAGAGTTTTAGCTGAAAACAGCTGGACGTTTCTGGATGTGTTGGAGACATTTAGCCTCTCATCCCAGAGGCTTCTTCCACACTTTGGTTGTGGTCAGAAACAAACACACTGGTTGTGCTGCAAGTCTTTTTCTTTTTTTTCCAAAACATGTTTTTGTCTAAATGAAGGTGATGTTGTTGTTCATAGAATTTAAATTCATGTTGAAGTTAAGATTATTTCAAGTAGGACCCGTGGTTAGCTGGCTCATGTAAAACATGTCATGTCTTGAAAGAATCTGAATCGGGAATCGATAGGAACCGGAATCGAAATGAGGAATTGGAATCGTTCAAAATCAAACGATGCCCAACCCTACCTCTGGTCCCCCACCGCTCGCCGTTAGGATCTCAGCAGTACTTGGACCGGCGAGCGTGTGTGTCATCGTGCCAAAGAAGGAGGGAGACACTGACCATGCAGAGGTGACTGGTAACGTTTAAGCCTTTTATTAATACAAATCAAATGTGTCCATCTTTAAAATATTAAACAAAATCAAATCTTGATGTGTCGCCCCAGTGACTCTGGACAAAGCGTCCAACGAAGCACCCGGGCGGCGAACGAAGATGTGTCTGCAAGGTCAGCCTGTCCCACCAGTGCGCCTCAGGCGCATGGCGCACCTGGAAGTGGCCGGAAGCTACTTGACACCGTCCTGCAGGCACAGAGGGACATGACTGGTATGGTGAATGAAGTGCGAGAAGAACTGCACAGAATAGGTGATGTCCTGACTGAAAGTTCAGGAACACTTAAATAATTGTTAAGAAAACAAAAGATGAAAATCATGCCTTCTGTGTTGGTCTGACGCAGGCCCCCCCGCTGATATTCCGTACGTCGGGGCAGGGGCTGCGCTTCAGGCTGTGTGTGTGTGGGGTGGCTTATTCTGTGTGAGCACAAAGTGGTACAAGTGATAATGCTGCTGGAATTCATAATTGTATCCTTCTCAGCAGCAACATTGCAGGTGCTCTCTACGTCCAAAATGTGCGTAAGCCAGGTCGTTAGTCACCTTGAAGTTGCACACATTTTTCCTCTCCATTTTTTTTTAATCCCAAAGTTTGCGTGGAAAGTTGCTTACGCAGTTTTCCGACCCCGTTTTGTGCGTAAGCAAGCTTTATAAATGAGACCCCGGCTCTGTCAGATTGGAATGGTGAACGTTGGTGGACAGCCAGTTTTAGGTCTCTCCAGAGATGCTCAATTGGGTGTAAGTCAGGGCTCTGGCTGGGCCACTCCTTCGTTATTTTAGCTGCTTGCTTTGGGCCGTTGTCAGGTTGGAAGGTAAACCTTCGGCCCAGTCTGACGTCCTGAGCACTCTGGAGAAGGTACTTGTCCGCATTCATCGTTCGCTCGATTACAATCAGTCGACATGTCCCTGCAGTTGAAAAACACCCCCACAGCACTATGTGGCCACCGCCATGCTTCACTATGGGGACTGTATTGGACAAGTGATGAGCAGTGCCTGATTTTCTCCACACAAACCGATTAGAATTAAGGCCAAAAAGTTCTATCTTGGTTTTATCAGACCAGAGAATTTTATTTCTCACCATCTCAGGGTCCTTCAGGTGTCTTTTAGCAAACTCCATGCAGGCTTTCATGTGTCTTGCACTGAGGAGAGGCTTCTGACGGGCCACTCTGTCATAAAGTCCTGACTGGTGGAGGGCTGCAGTGATGGTTGAATTTCTACAACTTCCTCCATCTCCTGATTGGTTGAATATGGAACACAAACACCAAAACATCTAGTGTGTGAAGGTTGTAGTTGCAGCAATAGAACAAGGTGTCCAGCCGTTGGGAGACCAGGTTTGCTGCTGATATGTAAAATGTTTTATTTGGGTCCATCTGTTGTAGACTTCACCTAAACTCGAGTTTTAGATCTCCTATGGTTGCGCCTCTTCTGAGAAGGATAACGACATCTTCTGGGCTCAGAAGCAGCTGCTTGACAAGTCCACCATTTTACACAGTGCCAGCCTCGCTGTGTCGAGCGAAATGTCTGGAAATACATAATAGTACCCTCTATTGGCTGGTAGATGTAAAGATAAATTCAGTGATATTTGATTATTTTTTTAAATAAAATATGGCTTTTAAAGGAAATACTATACCTTCCTTCTGCACATCTCTTAATGCTCCTTGGAGGTATAATTTTTTAAAATATAGCTTTTAATTAAATCAATCCACATATCAACCTTTAAAGGCACACTTGGCAGTTTTGCTTGTTTTTAGCACCCACTAGTGTCTGTTACTTATGTGTAGTTAAAGCGAAAGTGAAACCCCTCGCAGTGCATTTAACTTTTCAACACCTTAATCTTAAATTCAGAATAGATTTTAAGATCCTCCTTCTCACATATTAAGCTCTCATTAATCAAGCTCCATCATACATCAGTGACCTAATTGTTCCATAAGTTCCTAAACGAGCACTTCACTCTCAGACAGCAGGTTTACTGGTGATTTCGAGAACATCTAAAAATAGGATGGGAGGCAGATTTTTTAGCTATCAGGCTCCTCTCTTGTGGAACCAGCTCCCAGCTTTAGTCCATGAGAGACACTTTGTCTACTTTTAAGACTAGGCTTAAACCATTATTGTTTGATAGGGCCGATGGTTAAAATCTGATGTTAGCCTAAATCTGGACAAGTGGGGGAGTAGAAGGAGGTGGAGTGTACAGTCTGTAAAGACGGCTCTCCCTTGCCCTGCCTCCAACATGCCTCCATCTAAAGGACTAGGTTATCCAGAGTTATCTCTGTAGTTATGCTGCTATAGGCTTAGACTGCTGGAGGACCTACTGACCACTTTCCATACTCTACTACTTTCTTCTACAATCTACTCTTTCACTGTATTATTTTCTGCAATTTCAGCTGTTAACTTTATTTTCTCTCTAAGTGTTTTTCTCCCCAGAAGAAGCTACAATGATGTTCTGCTGAGCTGTGGTGGCCTCATAGAGGGGGCCATCATCTAGCTGCTAACCACTAAAACATTCTCCCTCTCCTGACAACACTTTACTCTCTTTGACATTGAATGTGCTACTAATAGTTTACCCGTTTAATTATAGATTAACTAGGATAAATACAATAAAGTTTATCTCTTAACAAATAAAATATTTACTAAGAAATCACAGTGTAACCATAGAAACACTACTTAGTATATATGTTGTGTAGGCTTGGGCGGTATCCAAATTTGAATACTGTCTAACTTCCACTTAATTTTACCCCGGTATACG